TCACATAGTTTGATTGGCTGACAATGCCCCTGCAGGTCACCATCGACCAAGTGCCTTCGACTTTCTTCCACACTCGAAAGCTTGATCCATCGACAGAGAATCTGCGATCAATCATGAACCGCAGAACGTGGCCTTCGCTTTCGCCTGTGCGTGCAGGAGCCATGGCTGCTGAATCAGCACTCATGGTGCGTTTCTACAAGGAGAACCGGCTGCGTGATCTGGTGAACACATGGAGAACCAGGTTCCTCCAACGTGGCCTTGTCCTCAAAGACAAGAACAAGCCGGACGAGGTCGTCTTCAGCCTTGGTCCATGGCCCACCTGTGCCGCGGCCCTCTGCATTTCCCTGCGCAAAACCACAGCTGCAGACAAGAGTGTGTGGTACTCCCTGCCAAAGCCCTTGAGCCGCGAGCATCTGCAATGGAAGTGCGTGGAGAAGTTTGCGGACTGGGAAGTTGTGCAAACCCAGCTCATCTCGCCCTTGCACGCAGGTCTGCAGATGAAGGGCAGCGGCGCCAAAAAGAAAAATGCACTCGTGGTGCCGGAGCTGCCAGGCATGTGGCGGGAGAAGACCAAAACTCGTCTTGGCCTTCTTAAGTTTTCGGCTTCCATGGGCTTCTGGGACATCAGCAACTTCTACATCAAGTTGCTGCTCCAGGACTGGCTTCCCGAAGCCCTAAAGCCTAAAACGCTAAACCCGAAACTAGCCTAACTGCCAAGTACTTAGGTCCCAAACACTGTCTGCAGGATGAGTTCGGGGAAGACGCGGAGACCTTGTCTCCGGAGTCCCTCGGGCTCAACCTGGAGGCTGCGGTGCAGCGGGGCATGGGCTGCACTGCTGCTGAGACTGCCTGCGTTCTAGAGCGGAACATCCACTGGCGCTGCCCATCTGCCAACGAGGAGCTGGACAACATTCTGGCCTCGGACATTTTGGAGGATGTCCTGGGGAAAGAGGACCNNCTTAGGACTTAACTTTTTAATTGGGTCTCCTATGTCAACTCTATTAAATTAAGATTAACAGCCAAGGAAAGATGTGGATGCTGCGCAGAAGTCCAGAAAGGACCAAGCTCTGGAAGCAGCTGTCATCACTCGTGCGGTCGCCCGCATCCGCACTCGCCTTCGCCCGCCTTCCACTTCGACTTCGGCTTCGTCTTCTTCGGCTTCGTCTTCCCGGCGAAAGCCGGTCAGATTCGAGAGCGACAGAAGTTGGAGTGTGGAAGATCTGCAAAGGCTTCTTCCTCCGTTTTATCGGGGCGACAAGGACAACTTCAACAAGTGCTGGCGGGTGTACCAGAAGCACCACACGTGGTCCGGGTCCAGGAGTTGGGGACCGTCAGGCAACGACAGCCGATGCTGTTTCAAGTTGCTCCACATGGCATGGCGCCGACATCTGGAGTTAAACCCCGGCGAGGCCTGCCCTTTTGAGTTTCCACCCGAGGAATGAAAAAAGGAGCTTCATTTCTTATCATTGAGACAAGGTTTTCAAGTCAACACAGCCTGGTTTCATTCAAGCCTGGGGTTTGGCATTGGGCATTCTCAAGGATTCTCGGACAAAGCCCCGACAGCCCCCAAACAACCACACGGAAAGCACTGAAGCGTAGATTTAAACAGGCTTTCCGGGGCTTCCAGGGCCTCAGGTTGGACAACTCCGATCATACCCCAAACACAAACCCCCAACACCCTAAAGCTCTTAACCCTGTACTCCAAACTACAACAGCACCATGATAATACGTCCTGTCGCCTTGGATCATAAATTAAACCCCTCAATCCTTTAAATTCTTCAGGCCCAGAGGCCTAATCAGAAAATAAACCTGAGAGCCTGGTATCCCCAACACCTGCAGTCCCGAAATCATATTTAAACACAAAAAAATGATAAGATCCTACAGCCTCCTTCGACTCGAAACCCTCAACCTCCAAACCCTCAATTTCAAAAACCTACACCAAAAACCCTGAACCTCTAAACCATGCACCCAAAGCCCGCTCATATTCGGAGCCTCTAGGAACCTGCAGCAGTGACTCTAAGCCCGACCCCGAACGACAACAGCAATGTCAATGCTAGTGGAAACGACTTACATAGACTGAGCTCGCTTCTCAGGGGAGCCTTGTTACTTATGCTCTGCTGTTCATAAAGTTAACACGTCTTCTGACAGAGCATTATCATTCCCTGAACTGATGAGTGCTCCACGTCCTGCTCATAAGTCTCTTGAACTGTATGGCAGTTTTGATTATCTGTCTTTGCGAAACTTCGAGACGTATGTTTCTCAGGTTTGCGTGCTCCCGACCCATGTACACTGTGGGTTCAGGGTTTAGGCGGGTTTAGCCCAACAACAGTTCAAATTCAAGTCGAAATGTAAATCTCCATCCCAAGCTGCCGCTCCCCACTACCGAGCCCATGCCCTAATTGTATGCCGAATCACAGCACCCGCAAAGCTTCAAACCATTCATCCTCCCCCGAAAGCTAAACTTGCGGAGGACAACTGACTTCTTGGAGACCCAGTCGCCGCGTCCCAAGCTTATTCCAGTTG